GAGGGAGAGGGAGAGGGAGAGGGAGAGGGAGAGGGAGAGGGAGAGATTCGTTGTTTCACTTATTTATCCATTCATTTGTTGCTTCTTGTATGTGCTATGGCCAGGAATTGAACCTGCAACCTTGGCATATAGGGATGGTGCTCTAACCAACTGAGCTACACTGTCAGGGTTAATTTAGTACTTCTGAAATACAAATACCCATCACCACACATTATCTTTCCATACTGAATTTCCAAGTGATTTGTGTCCTTAGTTCTCTCATGTTAAGACAACATGAGTGGTTTTATTGACTTGACAATGAAGCCTGTTCTCTAGATTACGTAACAGGTTGTAGGATCTTTGTAATCTCTTAACTTTAGACTTTAGAAAACACAATCTTTTCAATTTGCAGGAATAATTGACAAAATATTTACTGTTATTTTATGTGTACTAAATGATCTGATATCTGTTCCTACTCACACCAGAATGTTAGAAGGTGACATCTAATTTGGCATAAAATATCTAATTATTTGGAGTTTTACCTCAAATTTTCAAATTAAAATTCTCACAATATTGTGAGAAAAATACTGGTTTTTCTTGAGGAATCTGTACTACCTTCATGGAATGATGGAGAGGGAGCTGGGTTAATGAGAAAGCCATTACTTTAAGAGAACACTTTCCAACCTGGTGACCTGTACCCAGGTATTAATGGAAATGCCCTGATGTCCATCAGAGAGCTGTTAAAATACTTCCCAAGCGTCTTTAAAAATGGAATTTTGTGGTATAACTATTATCATTCTTCAGAAAAAAGGGAGACACTATTTTATACCATTTCTCTGATCTTATAGCTAAAGGCAACCTGCTGATTCTCTAGTTATTCTAGCACTCTTACATGATAAAGTCAGATAACCACTACAGATTGACCAGTATAGTCCATCTGAGCATGACCAAGCTTTATGCCTTCAATATTAAAATTCTACTCACTTACCAATCATATCTAGCACATCAGAAAAACCACCAGACCAATACTCTTTATTAGGGACATGGACAGCCCAAAAGGCAGTAAGAAATGGGGTTTTAAGGGAAAACCACAAGCTTTCTGCAGACTAGTGTTGCCACATAAATTCCTGATAAAAGGTGGGTTAAGGGAGAGGATAAAAGTTACCTACTTCAGTGTGAGGTTGCCTGGGAAAAACAATACATTAAAGTCAGATCTAGCATTGGATTCCAGTAATATGACTTACTATTTGACCCTAAATAAGTCATGTAAACCCTAATCCTCAATTTCCTCATCACTATAACTGGAGTAATACTACTTATTACATAGCCCATGAACAGCCCAATGGTGCTACCATTTAGAGCCAAATTCACTTCTGGTTACTCTGCCTGTGCTGGCTGGAGTACAGGGACCTGCACATAGGTAGAAGTTTATCAGACTGAGCTGCAAATATGTATAATGGGTCTTTAAGAATCTAAATGTTAAGAGAACTCTTGAAGTAGTCTGTCAATTATGTGACTGATTAATTGGTATATACCTGTGGTTATTAATACCAACATTAGATGAAACTTATAGACAGTAGAATCCTCAAATCATAGTACAACTCAATTCAGACGTGCCAATTATGTAATTACTAATTAGAGGCTTATACATCTTGGTTAAATTGAATCAAAAGTAGACTAGATATAAAGAAAGCATCCATACTTTATGATGTTTTAAGTAACAAAAATTTGAGCTTGGCAGCCAAAGCAAGCATGAAATGAGGGGAAAAAGCAGCAAGAGGGCTAATGAAGTTTTTTGTTATCTTTTGGAAGGGGCTAATTTAACTAATGTGAATAAGCCTTTAAACACTTCCTGTAGACTAAAATTAAAGAAGGTCACCAGAACTCTTTTATTCTGGTAATATAGCCTTCAAGAGTTAACTACCTTCTTTTAAATGGCATGACTGCTTAAGTGTACCAGTTCAGTGGATTCTACTGCTCTAATCCTGCTTCCTAAAGCAGAGGAAAAGGAACCATGTGAACAGTAAGTAAAACAATCCAGAGGCATGCAAGTGAACATCCATTCAGCATTCTCTGCCAGCCTAGCCCACTATTTCCCTACCCATCCCACCCCCATCCACCTTTACTGGCTAGTATGGTGCAAGTTACTAATAGCTAGCCAAGTCTCAGAAATCAGAAAGGCCTACTTTGCAGTTAGTAAAAGCGTTAGTTTATAAGCCAGCTAAAGAAGACTTGCTTTTTGATTTAACTTGCTCAACTTATCACAACCTTCTTAAACTACCCCCATATTTATTTAGCCCTTTCCTAATCCAAAGGCAGACGGAAAATCCTGAATGGAAGGCTGACTTTTACCCATGATTAGTGAGTCAAATCCAGAATGTACTCCACCCACTGCAGCTCTTGCATATCCCGGTTACCTTCACCCTCTTTCATCTGTTCTTCTCTCTCTTGTGTTTCTTCATTAGCAGCTATCTTAACTTTGTCTTCAGGGGATTTCTCAGTAGCCCCCTGGGCTATCTTGGTCTCAAACCCATTTCCAGCTGCCCCAGACTCTTCTACAAACAGCTTAGTCTCCTCCTGTTTAGGAACCAAGTCTGCCCTGACCTTCTCTTCTAGTCCTGAGCCATCTTTTCTTTCTGTTAATCCTTCTGCATTAGTCTCTGGTTCAATAGGAGTCTGATCTCCTGCAGCTGACAGTCCATTGACTGTACCATCCTTAGGGAGAACTGTGGCTTCTTGCCCAGGCTTCTCAGAGACTTGTGATCCATCTCCTGCAGCCTCTGTTGTCACCTCTGGTGACTCTTCAACAGGAGGCACTTCTTGCCCTACCAGCTGCTCAACAACAGCTTTTCCTGGGTCATTTTCAGAGGCAGCTACCTGCTCCTTTGACTCATCTCCACCCACATCCACTGGCTTGACTGTTGAATCTATAGGCTCTGCTTCTACCTCCACTGCAGTGCCCTGCTTTTCTAGAGTCACAGTAGGCTGCTCTCCTGAAGCTTCTTTTGGCTTCTCCTCTATGCTCACAATTACTTCTTCCTGCTTCTCCTGATCTCCTTTTTCTCTGTACTCTTCTTGGATGTCAGTTACAGAAACTGATTTTCCTTCCTCAGCATCTGGTGCTTCATCTTCTGGCTTCCCAGAAATGACCTCAGCTTCAATCAGTCTTTCTGGTGCTGCTGCTGCTTCTGCCTCTTCAGTGGTTTCAGTTAAGTGATCTTGAGTCAATTCAACTTTTTCTTGTAGTTTCTCTGTTGGCTCACTTATATCCATATCTTCTCTTCCACCCTTCTCCATTTCAGTCTCCTGTTCTTTATCAATTTCAGGCTTTACCAAAGACTTGTCTTCTGTTTTTTTTGCTGCTGCTTTTTCTCCCATGGCGTCATAAACCTGTTCTCTCAACTCTTCCCTTGCTTCCTCTACATGGTTAAAGAACATGAAGCATAAACATGTCTTCGAGTTTAATGATAAAGGCATAAATGGAAACTAAAAATACATTCCCTTTAAACCCTTCAAACAGCCTGGCTTAAGTTTTAGCAGATGGCCTACAAATTATCTGCCCCCTTGAGAAAAGCAAAGGTAAAGACCCATCTAGCAGAGCAACTTACTGCGGAAGAAACCCAAGCTCCTTAAATTAGATATTGTTTTACTTAAGCATTCTGATTATCAGTTAGGTGGAGATGCCAAGCTTTACATTCTCCTCTAAACTTATAGACCTCCATCTGATATGTAAAACTAGAAGCTAAACTCAACTTAGAAATTAATATTTAAATTTCTTAGACACAAAAAATGTAAAAGGTCTCTAGAAGCACTGCCATTAAAATAACTGAGCTGCACAGACTTTTTAAAAAATTAAGTTCTCCTTTTATAAAGCCTGCAGTCAGTTTTTGTAATTAGCTACCTCCACTGCAGTCTCCACCAGATGCAGGTTATCATTCAGGCATCTTAGAGAGAGACCATCCAGAATATTATTTCCATCACTTGTACACAAGAAATATACGTCGCATCTCTTGAATGCCACATGCAACTCCACATACCATCTATGTTATCATTATTTTCTACCAGAGATTCTTCTTCTGTTTTTTCTCCTTCCTCCTCTTCTACATGCACACCTTCCAGGGCATTTCCCAAAACACCATTCTCCATTCTAGGAGAACAAAAGGAAAAAGTACCAAAGGTATGATGACTAGAATCTAACAATTTTTGAAAGACAGAAATTGTAGTCCTATATTATAAAAGCGACGAGAGTAAGCAAATGCAGGGAATATAAACTAGGTATTCCTACAAAACCTCTAATATAACCAGAATGCTCTACAAAATTAGAAAACTTATCAGAACTGAGATTAAATAGATCACAGATAATTTGCTAGTTTTGTGTATCCTCAATGTATTTTATTCTGGTGAATAAATTCTGGTGGAAAACACACAACGACTTTACAATAATTAAGACTACTTATGAGTTTTATTTATTAGACATATTCATTTGCTAGTGTTTTCAAATTGTCCTTCATTCAGTCCTTGTTAAGGACAATTATTTTGGGCTAGCTGAGAGTGCTTTTAAAGGTTCTCTATATTGGACTTTGAAAAATTATTGACCGTTCAGTTCACTAAGGAAAGGTCTCTGCTTCTAATGATGCCAAAGTCAAAATCTAAGTATAACTTTACTCTTTGCATGAAGTGCCTTTAAAACTTCCATCAACATTTCATCATGTTCCCTTTAATCCCCCATTTCTTAGTACAACTGGTCTCACTTAGCAAACAAAGAAACTAAAGTGTTTAAACAGACCATTGTTGTGATACAAAACAGTCTACTTATAAACTGTGGCTTGAAAGACGTACCTTGCCAACTCCAGAAGTGATTTCCCATAAAAAAAGAAAGCTTCTCCACACTCATTGGCCGTCTCTCCATATTTCTTACCTCTATAAAGAGAACGAACATCCAAGATCTGAATTAACTATTAGTCTAAAACATTTATTTCTAGTCCTTTAGTTATGACATTCATCCAGTAACACATCCTTCTAGGAAACCAATAATCCCCTCTTGCTTTCCAGTCAAGGTCAAAGGGACCTTGACCTAAGAAACAGTGCATGAAGCTAATGTTGCCTGTTCTTCATTTATCTATATATATTATATATTCTAAATGACATTAATTTACTACAGTTCTCATATATATTATCTAAGACCTAAACTACATTAATAGGGATTTCTTCTGCTACAAGATAGGTGTCAATATGGGCCCAAATAGTTAGAGGACTAACTATTAGTTGGCTGGGACCTAAAGGATGTCAGGCCCATGGAAACGTATCATGATGTAGTCAAGAGAATTTTTTCTCTGGACCCAGAATGTCTGGGCAGTTTTCTTACAGTGCCTTAGTTTTCTCATCTGTAAAATGGAAATGTTAAGAACGCTCAAAGAGCTACTGCAGGAACTGAGTTAATGCATATAAAAGCATTTAAAACAATACTGAGAAATACAGATTTATAATAAGTTTTAGCTATTATTATCTAGAAAGGGAAGAGGTAAGTCAAAGTAAGGCCAACCAACTACCAGCCTAAGAGTCTAGTGAGAGTAACTAAAGAAACTGAGCAGCTCTAGCCTGTTTGACTCACTGGTTAGAGCATCAGCCCTTGGAGTGAAAGGTCCCGGGTTCGATTCCCACCAAGGGCAAGTACCTCAGTTGCAGGATCCAACCTCAGCCCTGGTCGAGGCATGTGCATGAGGCAACCAATCAATGTGTCTCTCTCACATCGATGTTTATCTATCTCCCTCTCTCCCTTCCACTCTCTCCAAAAAGCAATGAAAAAAATATCCTCGGGTGAAGATAAAAAAGAAACATGACTGACTTCAGCTGCTATTGGTAATAATATCTTAGAGGAAATTAGCTCAAACCAAGTCATAGGCCAAAGGCTAATGCTTGAAGATTTAACTTTCTCAGAGCACAGAGGTCCATGAAAGTCTTTGGTTAAAATAAACCAATCTTGAGGCACTAAAGCTAACTTCTGTTTCCTCAAAATACTATTACCAATATGTCTATCTGCAGTCACCTGGTGGTAACTACCAACTTCCTGGCAATTACAACAGATAACAAAGTGCTAAGAGTCTATGAAAAATACTGTGCTAATAATAACATTAATGGTAGGGTGACCAACCAACATGGTTTGCTAGGTATTGAGTTTCTTCAGATACAGAACTTCCAGTGCTAAAATTGGAAAAGTCCCAAAATAAACCAGGACAAGTTAGTCACCCTAATTAGTGGTGACTAGAAAACAGATTGCCTTACTCAGGAAAATCAAAGGCTACAATTACTTAGTTTTATATGTAGCTTTTATAGATACAGAACTTGTACATGAAAAATAATCATTTTTTTAAATTCTTGCACTTTATTTCTTTTTCTCATAAAACAACTTCTTATGACTCAAGTTTATTAGGAACATAGTATCACATCATAGCAAAACACAGTACTTACAAAAGACTAGATGCTTCCTGGAATGCATTGACAGCTGCTGGAATATCCCCCATCACCAGATGTTTCTGTCCTAAACCCAATAGCTTCTTAGCTTCACTATCCACATCCAGGCTGCAGGAAAAAAAAATTTTTTTCAAATGCTAAATACTTTTAAAATCAACATTTCTTGAAAACCTGCTACATTTAAACCATAATTTCTTTAAGCCTGTGAACTACGCTGGCAAGGCTTAGCTAACTCACATTTATCACTACAAAAGCTAGAGTAACTCAGAGGAAATATCCTCAGAATTTGACTAGAATATTTCCTCTTAAAGGTTTATCTACTCACTAGCAATGAATAAACTTGGTTTCCATGATTGTGGAAGGAAGTCCCCCCAAAGATACTGGCATTGCTAAAGTGCCACTTATGGGAGCTAGGGGGGTTGGCAGGGCCGCATCGGCTGGTGTTCCAATTCCACAAGCTCCTTGCTGGATTAGCAGGCCCTGTCCAAGGGGTTAGGGGACCCTCTCAGCAGGTAATGAATCCACAGGGACAAGGCACTGTGACAGCTGCCGCTGTTGTAGCCACTGCCAGCATTGCTGGAGCCTTAACTCAGCACCCACCAGATCAGGGGACCACCCACATGTATGTGGGCTGGGCAACCCCCTCCAGGCATTATGGCTCCTCCACCTGGTACCAGGCCACCCCTGGGCCCACCAATTGGGCTATCCCCTGCTCCAGGGACACCAATAGGCATGCCTCCTCCAGGAACGAGACCTCCACCAGGAATGAGGTCCACATCCCTGGGAATGTGTCCAAGACCCTGGAAAACTATTGGTCCTTAGTTACTCCTTTCCTGCAATGCATCCTGTGACTGTGTAGTGTTTGTGAACTTCTGTCCCCTCTGCTGCATTAATATTCAGTAATAAATGCATAGACCAATTAAAAAAAAGATGCAAACATTCCACAGAAGGATTAAAGAATATTTCAAATCACTATTCTCAACCTAAGCAAGCTTAAGAATTATCAGGAAGCCTTACCAAAACATACAAACCTGAATTCTAACTCAAGCTAAACGAATAAAATCTCTAGGGATGCAACTCAGGCATCCACCTTTTGGATAAGCTTTCTAGTTATTACCTCTGCTCAAGAATCATGGTCACATTGAGACGGGTAAGTTACGGAAGTAGACGCGGGCTCAATATAAAATTTAAAACTCTTAAACTAAAATAGCGCAAAATAGAACATGGTAACTTACAAAAAAGAGATCTAGCAGCAGAAATATTTTAAAAAGAAATAAGAAAAAAAGAATAGGCTAGCATTTTTCAGGCATATTGTATATGGGTTAAGTAGTAGAACTAGCCCAGCCAGTCTCGTTCAGTGGTTGGAGTGTCGGTCCATGGATTGAAGGGTCCTGGGTTCAATTATGGCCAAGGGCACATGCCTCAGTTGCAGGCTCGATCCCCACCCTGGCCTGAGTGCATGAGAGAGGCAGCCAATCAATGTCTGTCTCTCTCTCCCTCTCTCTTTCTCTCCCCCCACTTCCACTCTCTCTGAAAAGCAATGGAAAAAATACCCTCAGGTGTTCTGCTTAAATAAATAAGCAGAACTAAATAACTTCCAATTCTAGTATTTTAATCAAATGCAAAAAACCTGAAGACATCATTGTCAGGACTCTATACTATGACTTACAGACAAATACCTTAATATTCGGTCTTATTTGTTACCCATTAAATATAATGAAACTGACTCATCCCCATGGCTGCCACGTCAAAGCCCCACCCAGGAAGGGGAAGGAAGCTTTTTAAGCATAGAAACCCAAATATAACTCAATGACATCAGTGTGAACAAAGTTGAGATCAACTATATAAAACATCTTATGGCCCTGGTTGGTTAAAGCATTGGTCCGAGGACCAAAGGGTTGCGGGTTCAAGGACACAAGTCTGGGTTGTGGATGGCAACCAATCTATGTCTCTCACATTGATGTTTCTCCCCTCCCCCCTTCACCCTCCCTTCCACTCTCTGAAAAATCAATGGAAAAATATCCTTGGGTGAGGATTTAAAAACAAACAAACAAAGGCTTTCAGCCAAGTAAATAAAGTCTGTGTAAGTTGCAAAAATAATAACAATAATGAATCTAAATCTAATTAGATATATATCTAATTGTACCATGTAAATAATCTTACCTCTCCACTTTATCTGTAGAGGTAGAAGGAGCAGGAGCATCTTCTTCAATTCTGTAATAAAAAATAAGGAGGAAAAAAATTAAAAATGGTGGTTACTGCAAGCCTGGAAATTAAGTACATTAAGAAATATGTAGGCCCTAGCCAGATAAGGTCAGTTGGTTAGAGCGTCGCTCCAATACACCAAGGTTGCAGGTTTGATCCCTGGTCAAGGGCACATGCTCAGGCTGTGGATGGGCTTGATCCTCCGTGGGGTGGGGTGGGGTGAGTGCGTGTGTGTGCGTGCGCGTCCAGGAGGCAGCCAATGGATGTTTCTTTCTCTCCCTTCTACTCTCTCTAAAAGTAAATAAACTATTCTTTTTAAAAATATGTATCTTTATTGATTTCAGAGAGAGGAAAGGAGAAGGAGAGATAGAAACATCAATGATGAGTCATTGATGCCTCCTGCAGGGCCCGGATTGGGGATCAAGCAGGCAACCTGGGCGTGTGCCCTGACCGGAATTCGAACTGCGATCTCTTGGATCCTAGGTGATGCTCAACCACTGAGCCACACCCGGCCGGGCTAAACTACTTTTTTTTTTTTTTTTTAGAATATATATTTATTGATTTCAGAGAGAAGAAAGGAAAGGGAGAGAGATAGAAATATCAATGATGAGAGTCATTGATCAGCTGCCTCCTGCAGGCCCCTGACAGGGGATCGAGCCTGCAACCTGGGCATGTGCCCTGACCAGAAATCGAACCCTGACTGCCTGGATCCTAGGTTGACACTCAACCACTGAGCCACGCCCGGCAGGGCTAAAGTATTCTTTAAAAAAATAAAAGAAAATTTGATAAGGTGGATTTCCTAAAATATTTTTTAAAAGAAATCAACCAATGAATGCATAAAGAGATGGCACAAAGTGATGTTTCTCTCTCTCTCTAAAAAAAGAAGAAAAAAAAAAGAAAAAGAAAAAAAAACCCACACAAAAACAGCTTAAAAAAGAAATATGTAATTATAGTTATAAGAGCAGCCATTAAAAGCCCAACATGATTTCCTTATATTATCAAATTTAATCCTACTCATTCAAATATCTGCTAAATGCTTATTTGCTAGGTATAAGGTATACTATAAACAAGACAGTCACATGCTAGCTTTGAATTTACAATCAGATGAAAGAGAATGCAGTATTTGTTATAATGGGATATATACATTCCTGATAAATCTCACATTCTACAAAACTGCTCACTTAAAAATGTGGTGTTTTTTTAAAGGAAGGAGCAAAGTTTCTCAGAACATTCATTTTTGAAAAGTCCTAAGAAATATCTTTTTTTTTTAATTTATTTTTTTTAGAGCAAGAGGGAGACAGAGAAAAACATTGATCTGTTGCTTCCCATTCACACACCCCCTGCCCCAGGACCAAAAACCTAGGTTATGTCCCTCACTAGGAATTGAACCCACAACCTTTTGGTGTACCAGGGGATAATCCAACTAAGTGAGCCACCTAGTTAGGGCTAGACTTTCTGATTCAGTGGGTATACTGAGGTCCAGGACTTGCATTTCTTACAACTTTCCAGGTGGAACCACACTCTAAGAATCACTGAATTAGAACAAAAATTTTAAACTGATGTTCATGTCCTATCTGAGTCATAGACATTATCCAGTTATTTTTTATGTTAATCATAATAGCTCTATATTTAAAACTATGATATCACATAGAAATCTGGATTTTTGTTTCTCTTTAAAAATCATTATGTAAAGTATAAATCCAGAAAAAAACTAGAATTATGGGCCCTGACTGGTGTAACTTAGTGGTTAGAGTGTTGGCCTGTGGACCGTTAAGGGTTGCAGGTGGGATTCCAGGTCAAGGACATGTACTGGTTTGTCGGTTTGTTCCCCAGCTCAGACAGGATATGTGCTAGAGGCAACCAATGGATGTCTCTCTCTCATATGGATGTTTCACACAGGGGGTGGCGCTGGCTGTCCGTCTCTCTCCCCCCCTCCTTCCAATCTCTCTTAAAAAAAAAAGAAGAAAAGAAAAGAAAGAAAAGAAAAGAAAAGAAAAGAGAAGAGAAAAAAAAGAAAAGAAAGAAAAGAAAAAAAGAAAAGAAAAGAAAAGAAAAGAAAAGAAAAGAAAAGAAAAGAAAAGAAAAGAAAAGAAAAGAAAGCCAGCCTGAACCGGCATTGCTCAGCCATTGAGGATCCACCTAAGATCCTAGATCGAGGTTCAATTCCTGGTCAGGTCACATGCTTAGGTTGCAGGCTTGATCCCTAGTCGGGCTGCGCAGGAGGCAGCCGAACAATGACTCTCTCATCATTGATGTTTCCTACCTCTTTCTCTCTCTCTCTCTCCCTTCCTCTATGAAATCAATAAAGATATATTAAAAAATAAGAAAATAAAAATCAATGGAAAAAAGATCCCCCGGTGAGCATTAACCAAAAAAGAAAAAGAAATTATAGGAGAAATACTTTGTAACTCATCTGGTGAAGGCCTCTTTATTTATTTAAGTATTGATTTCAGAGAGAGGAAGGAAGAGGGAGAGAAACATCAATGAGAGTCATTGATAGGCTGCTTCCCGCACGCCCCCTACCGGGGATTGAGCTCGCAACCTGAGCATGCGCCCTGACCGGGAATCACGCCCATCTTGTAGGTGGGTTTTTAAACTCAGAAACCATGAAAGATTAATAAATTCTACTCCATCTAGTTCATTTTACAGAAGGGCAACTTAGCAAATATACACAGAATCTTAACAATCCACATGAAAAAAAGCTCAAGATTAAAGGATAGAAACGCATTCACAGAAAACATGAACAGCTCAAACATTTGAAAACATGTTCAGGCTCATTCGTAAGAAAAACACAAAATTACAATGAGAAAGCATTGTTTACCCATCAAATAGTCAAAGACAAGGATGTAGGAGAAACGAGTGTCCCCATATAGTGCTAACAAGTTTAAATCCACAAAACTTCTATGAAGATCTACTTGACAATGTCAAAAATAACAAATGAACACTAACTCTTTGATCCACCAATTCTAGTTATAGAAACTTACCCTACCAATATACAAGGTGGGCACAAGTAGGTTTACAGTTGTGAGTAGTCAAAACATATTCTTTTTTACTTTTTTTTAATAAAACATTTTATTTATTTTTTTAGAGAGAGGGAAAGGAAGGGGCAGAAAGACAGAGAAACATTGATCAGTTGCCTCCCATATGCTTCCCGATCGGGGATCCAACCAGTGACCTTTTGATGACACTCAACCAAGTGAGCAACTCTGGCCAGGGCTATTCTTGTATTTTATTTATTAATTACTCTATTCTTTTCCATACAAACAACTGTAAACCTACTTTTGCCACCCCTGTACCAGTCCAGTTTATTACAAGGTTATTAACTATAGCACTGTTTGTAATAACTAAATACTAGAAACCACTCCATTGTTTAGCCATAGTGAACTTGTTATGAGACAACCACAGAATAGAATACAATGCAGTCATTAAAAAAATTAAGGAGCCCGGCGGGGCAGGGCTCAGTGGTTGAGTGTCAACCTAGGATCCAGGCAATCAGGATTCGATTAATGGTCAGGGCACATGCCGGGGTTGCGGCTCTGTCCCCAATCCGGGGCCTGCAGGAGGCAGCCAATCAATGACTCTTTCATCATTGATGTTTCTATCTCTCTCTTCCTCTCCTTTCCTCTCTCTGAGATCAATAAAGATATATTTAAAAAATAAAATAAAAATTAAGGAAATGCCCTGGCCACTGTGGCTGAGTGGTGGTGTCCTGTATACCAAAGGTGGTGGGTTCAATCCCTGGTGGTGCTGTGGAAGAGGCAACCAATTGATGTTTCCCTCTCACATAGATGTTTC